CTCTCGAGTTTTATAAAACGATCTCTCGAGTTTTATAAAACGATCTCTCGAGTTTTATAAAACGATCACTCGAGTCTTATAAAACGATCTTCGAGTTCTTATAAAACAATCTCTCGAGATTCATAAAACTGCTGCGTTTACGCGTTTGCGGGGAATTTTGGCTATTGATTCCGTCGTACCGATTTTGACCCCAACAAACGCTGAGTTATACTGATCCACAGACGCAAAGTCTTGGAACCTCAGGTTCTTCCATTCAAAGCTAGCCTTAGGCAAGATGACCGTTTTATGGTGGTCATACCGGGCCTTTAAGGCTTTCCAAAGCTCAAATGGGCTATCCTCGGCCAAGTACTGATCTTTCAGACTTTCATGGAGGTGATGTCGGATCAAGAATAAGGACCTATTCTTATCCTTATCAGTGCAATTGTTGCGTTCAACAATAGTCTCACCAATCCCTTTGGATTTGAGAAGGATTGTTGTATCCAAAGCCCACTTTAGGTAGTTGTCACCAGAGACTTCCAATGCAACATATTCAAGGTTGTTAAGTTTAGACATCTGAAATTCATAAAACTTAACATTTAGACCATTTTAAAAAAAATTGGACCACATTAGGTTCAAGCAAACAAAGTCCATAGAGAATGATGCAAGCAACCTAGTACACGAGTTCTATATGGTCATATGGAAGCAAGCAAAGTGAACAAGTCATTGTTAAGCATTAGCAACCAATAAATAAGCATTATCATATGATCCGGTTTTTAATAGAACTCAAATTAACCAATTCCATCCTAGCATCTGGTTTCTTATACAGAGAACATAGCCAATATGATCAAGCAAGCATGGATAAAAAAATAAAACCAGTCATTGCATGTATAAGAAGGTCGGATCCTATCATCATGTCTAGGGTTTTCAATTTGTTCAAATTTTAACAATCCAAATTCATGTGGTCATTCTAGGTGTAAACCCTAATATAATCCGGTCATAACCTATACTTTAAAATTCTATATTCAAAGCATATCAATGTGATCAGGCAAACATGGAAAAAATTTAAAAAAAACCAAGTTATGCAAGAACAAGAAGGTCGGATCACATATAAATATGTTTTAGGGTTCCAATTTCACAACTTAACAAGTTCTATCAAGTTTGGTTCTTAAAAAAAAATTGCAATCAACCACATAGTCTCAGGTACCTTAGTTCCATTGTATAAACTAGCAAGACAGGTTAAAAGATGGTCGTTTTAATTTTGGTGCAATTCCTAAGTCCAATGGGATTATGAATGCAAATCCTAAACCTAATAGGAGTAGAACCAAAACAAGGGTTTTCAAAAACTTTTAAAAATCCGAATCATGCAACCAAATAAAATCTATCAAGTACACATTACAAGCAGACAAAAGGTGCATAAGATCATGAAGTATCAAGCCAAGAACATCAGGATTTCAATTTTAGATTAAGGATCTAAGCAATTCGGATTTCAGGATCATGGGCATAGAGAAATTAGGGTTTTAGCAAAACAATCAATCCAACCATGGAAACCAATGAACCTAACACTCGTTTTTAATTTTAAACACAACTAGATAGGTTATATTATCATTCTATAACAAGCTTAGGTCGTGCAATTTACCATGAACAGAGATAAAAATTCAAACAACTCAGATATCAGTTCATGCGCATAGAGAGAGATTAGGGTTTTGCTGAAACAATCAATTCAATCATGAAAACCAATGAACCTAGCACTCGTTTTTAATTTTAAACACAACTAGATAGGTTATATTATAATTCTAGAACAAGCCTAGGTCGTGCAATTTACCAGGAACGGATCAAAGAATTTAACCAACATAGATGCAGTAGCAGGCGCATAGAGAGATAACTAGGGTTTTCAAAAATTTTATCAATTCATTCATTCAGCCAATTAGCCTAGCATTCAAACTCAATGATAAAGACATCAAGATGGATCATATTAGCATTTAACAATAGACAAAGGTCGTGTAATTAGCAAGATTAGATCTAGGGTTTTCAAGCAATCTCAAAATCAGTTTCAAGCGCATAAGAGAAAGAGAGAGAACATGATCATAAAAACTTCAGATCTATGAATACCAATGATCAAACAACATATAGTCCCAGTATGATCAATTTCAATGTTAGTTTAATAGATCTAGTGCAGCAAAAACGAATTTGGTCAGTCCTAAACAATAGTTTCAAAACGGGTTTCTAGAGTGAGAAAATCATCCGGTTTTAACAATTTTATGTCTAGGGCTTTCAAAATTATTTTACTCAATCATATAACCTCGAAATCAATTAGTATGAATCATTAAACATTCAACATGATATAACTTGATAAATAAAACAATCAAAACGAATTTTATCTAGCATAGATTTCAGTTTTAGCAATTAGGGTTTTTAAGTTAACTTTTGCACATGAGAACAAGCTTGTTTCATGCGCATGAGTTAGGCTTTTAAGGGGATCAGGAATGAGTTTTAAACACAAGAATTTCTGTAGTTTATAATAAGGGGTCGAAATCTATGTTATTAGTTTCAAGATTATACCTCAAAATCACCAAAGTTTCTGGATGGACCTCCTTGGGCAGCCGGGTGGTATGTGAGGAGAGAGAGAGGTCGGATGAGATCTGTTGATGATTGTTTTTGCAGCTACAAGCTCCAAAGTTGAGGTTGATGTTTGATTGCTTGAGATCGCCAAGGGATGAGAGAGAAGGCGGCTAGGGTTTTGTGGCTGTGCTCGGAATTTTGTGTAGCTTAGGGTAGGCTCGTGCTGATAACGTGTTGAGATTTAGAAGGTTGTAACTTGTATATTATTAATGAACCACGACCACATATATATATGGGTCTACAAACCGCCTCTAAAGGCTGGGATAAACATAAGCCCAATAAGATAAGGATTACAAGTAAAGAGATAATCATAAACCAATAAGGTTTATGATAACTACTACAATATCTAGGATAATAACAAGGAGATCCTGAGTGGATAAGGATGATGGATCTGGCCGCCTGGTACAGTAGTAGAGTGACACTGAAGTAGACTGAAGTAGACTGAGCTTGGTCCATTTCCATTTCCAGGATATGTCCCAACCATCATTTCTTAACATCTATCAAATATTGTTCTGTTCAAATATTGTTCTGTTGCCTTGTAGTTTGGACGGTATCTTCCCTGATTTTGTGGAAAGGTCAACATTATAAGTGATGGAAATACGCATTCAAAGGTCGAAGTAATTCCCTCATCATAGAGGAGTTTAACAACTTTGTCCTCCATGCACATTTATGAAACACATGATGAAAAAAGGTTTTGGCACAACTCAATTTACAAGCTTGTCACTCCATATAATAATCATCTTTCATATGAAATACAACATCATTGACATTTAAAGTCAACCATAGTTTTTTAGTTGTCTATAATATTAACAAGGACATTAGCTAATTTTAATCCAATTTAGTCATAAAAACATAGGATATTTTCATATATATAGAGGTTAAAATATTTAAATATTTAGTCATAATTTACTTCGATTCACGTTTTTTCCAAATGATTTAGGATGCTTCTGATATCTCAAGTAGAAAACCAAATAAATCATCAAACGAGGGAGGGGGGGGGGGTTTGGTTCTTTTGTGCCTGAAGTTCAAATCATTTTTGGTACAGTGTTATTCATATAAAATTGTAACTTTAATGGGCCTGTGCCTCATTGAAACCCCAAGTAGGAATACACCAAATGAAAACAGTTTCTGGGTTGTTTAGGTTTTGCCTTGACCACAAAGAAAAGTGATGTAAGTAATTCACAAGAAAGTTTAGGTTTTACCTTAAACCCATTTCCAGAATTTCACAAAACTATTGAAGTTTTAAGTTTCTCTATGTTCTCAACTTGTTAGCGAAGAACAAACCAGGTCTCGTCGTCAATGGCCGCTAGGTTTCTTAGTTTGAGACGCGCTTTGTCTCTGTACCTCACCAACCAACAACCTCGTGTTTCTCTGTTTCAAGGTATCATCTTCTTCAATCTCCCCAATCCTCCAACACGATTAGTCGCGAGGACTTATAGTTGTTTTCTATGTGCAAAAATGGATTCTTTTGTGAAAGTTGACATACAGATTGGAGCTTTATAGTTTTCCAAGTTCGATTGTTGATCAAAAGTAGCTGCGTAGGCTTTGCAGTAGTTGTAATTTGTAGTTGTCTTAAATGTTTTTTTGGGGGTGAATTTAGATGAGAGTCATGAAAAGTTGTGGTTTTTTATGTCCTATGGAGTTAGTACTATCGCAATGATGAGCAGAGATTTGTATAGAAGATATATAATCATAACTGTCTCCGAAAGTGCGCTTTTTGAGTTCTTTGTAACATATCAAAAACATTGGCGTTTTATCTATACACTGATTAAGTTGTTGAGTCTCTTATACGATGATGTATTCCTAATGAGTTTGAGATATAAGATCTATTATTTGGTGCAGACAATAGTATCCTTGGAGGTTCCTGTGATTGCCTGTTGTGGTACTACTGTTTTAGTAATAATGGTTCTCTCAATTTTGAAAATGATCTTAACAGGTAAGCTTGCGAAATCAAAGTCAATCTTGAGTACAGACTATGCATATGGAGGATTGTTACAGAGGCACTTTAGCAAAGCTGCAGTAACCAATGGCTGCTGCAACTCTTCACTCTCTGCAGCTGAACTTACCAAAGCTCCCTCCACCTCTCCTGCCACTTCCTCCGAGGAACTGATTGTGAAGTACAAGTCCCAGTTGAAAATAAACCCAAGGCATAACTTCATGATGGTCTTTACCTGCAAGGTCTGTGAGACGAGATCAATGAAAATGGCGAGCAAGGAATCATACGAGAAGGGAGTTGTGGTAGTGCGATGTGAAGGGTGTGATAATCTGCATTTGATTGCAGACCGTCGTGGCTGGTTTGGAGAACCGGGTAGCGTGGAGGAGTTTCTTGCTGCTCAAGGTGAAGAGTTCAAGAAAGGATCAATGGATTCTCTTAGCCTCACAGTTGAAGATTTGGCTGGAGAAAAGATCTCTAGTGAATAGTGCAAGAAAGCTCTTCGTTGCTTTTGCTATTATAACCACTACTAGGACTTGAATCTTGTGGAGAAAAATAAAAAATTTATAGTGCTTTTAATTTAATTTTCGAGACAATATCTAGTGAACACATTAATCCCCCCCCCCCCCATATGCATATAAGAGAATGACATTTAACACATCCTTGAGTCCCATTCTTGTTACTCTAATTTAAACTTTCATCTACATTATACTGCACTGAACCGTTCTCAGTTCTTAGCCTATCGGTTTAATCGGTGAAATGTATGTATAGTAACAGTAAGTGTTGTTCAGTAATATTATATGAAAAAGAAAATCTATATTATAATGGGGCCCTTTGGTCACTTCCAGCACACCATGTCAGAATATTTATGGGTTTCACTGCAAGAAAAATAAAAATGGATTGATCAGGAATCGAATCGAACACAGATTCTTTACTTTTCAAACAAAGTCTTTACCACCAGACTATAGTACTATAGTACCTAATTAAAATACTTAACATATTTTAAGAATAATAGACTATAATACCTAATTTATTTTATAAATAAAATAAAGTATTTAATTCTTGGGTATCCCCAATTAATCATTAATTCACTAGATCTTCATATTCATAGAGTGAATGTTTCTATTTTCATGAATCAGTTTTTCTTACTCTACCTTTACATCTCCTATTTTTATTATGTTGATTAACAATAGATCACATTCATAACACATCATGTATTCCAGTTAATATATACTCTATCTAAACAGAAGAATCTTTCATAATTGATTCTTTCATTGATTCTTCTTCTAGACAACTTTTATTACATCTTCTCGGAAATGACTTCATCTTCAGCTTTAGATGTTGATGGGTTGATTGGTAGTATTATCATAAGAATTTTAATCTTATTATCTAATTAACATTTATGAGAAAAGCATTTAGAAATTCATTTATAAGATGCTAATATTCTCCAAATTCTATTTGCTCAAAAGTCTCATATGGAGCTTTTGGAAGATTATGTGTTCTTAGAAAATATAAAAATTAAAAATAATTATACATAATTATATTCCAAAAAGATGTAATAAAATATTTTTAATTTAAAAGTAGTAATTCACATTTTAAATATTATATAATTACCCATATCAATCATTGTTTTTAATAACAAACCTAAATTTAATATAACTAAGTATTATAGATATAAACATATTTATATTATTTAAAAATAAATAGAGTAATCATATAATGCTCTACCAATAATAAAATAATAAATTAATTATATATAATTTTATATAAAGGATTATTATTTTATTTAATAATATTAAAATTATATTTATATGAAAAAATAAATTTATATTTTTAAAATAAATTATATATATATAAATATTTTTAAATATTAATATTTCAAATTTAAAATATAAAACCATTTAGTTAATTGAATAAGATTCATTATTTTTATTAAAAATGTTATTAATATATATTATAAATATATATTTATTTAAAATAAATATATTATATACTAAATTTTATGATAATTATAAAATTATATACTGCTACCGTTCTATCAATCATTTTATTAAAAAAAATTAGTAAGAGCACACATCTTCTACAGTATAGTGCTTCTACAGCATACTGCTACTATTTTATTATTAGATGTACAAATCAGGGCCTAAAATCTTTACATGCATGTTAACTTTTGATTCTTTCTACCTTGGCCGCCTCCATTTCTGGAATTCTCGAAACATAAAATGGCTAATTTATGAGAAAGAGAAGAACATTAGCATTTAACAAGATTGCATAACAGTACCCATTTACTCCGTTAAGTTATAATGAACCATGTTCATAGTACCTCCTGCATTACGCTTAATATATACTATATATAAACGGAGAAACCATTATTCTCTGGTTCTCTCATTAATTCCTTTTCCAGTCAAATATTATCACATCTTCTCAAAAATAACTTCAGCTTTTGCTTCGGTTGCTAAATTCGTTGCATGTGTCTCAACTTTTGATTCTCTTTACTTTGGTCAGTTCATGGTTGTTTGTCGCCTCCGTTTATAGAATTCTTAGAATATAAAAAAATGGCGAATTTATGAGAACTGGAGAAGATTGAGAAGAACCTTTCACATTTAACAAGACTTCATAATGTTTGTAGATATGTAGAACTTTTGAAAACTTTATTGAATAATACAAAAGACTTCACACGCTATATCGGTCCAGCTTATATGTCAAACATCAAAAGATATAATAAAATTATAGAATACATCAATTATATCTTCGAAACCGCGTTTGCGCATAGACTATATTGTAATGGTTAAGTTTCAAGCCTCATGTAGGATCCGCGTGTTATTCCATCCGGTCAACCACGTTATCAATGTGTTTTGATTTGGTATAATTATGTGTGGGCTGGTGTGAGTTTGTAATTTATATTTAGAAGCCCATTCTAAAGCACTTAACCAAAGATAACAAAACTCTGCGTTTAGGCTTAGGTCATGGGGTGTCTCTTCTGTTATTGAACTCTTCCGTCGACTATTAAACTTCAGTGTTTCATCCATTGTTTGAGAAAAAAACAGACATTCCCCTTCATCTTTTACCTCCCCTGTCTCTTCATCTACATCTCTTGCTTACCCTATTTCAATGTTTTGATTTCATATGTTTAATTAATCTGTTGTTCTCATTAAACCTATTCACTCCCACAACTCCCCGTCTTCTTTTATTTACGATCCAAACTTTATTCGTTTTAAAATCATAAGAAAAATTCAAACTCTATATATAAAAAAGGTCTGTGAGTCCAATCCACATACACCGACACCCTCTATTTGCCAAAAGCCAGACGCCTCCTTCGAGAATGTCTTCCTCTGTGTTATTAGGCCTGCAGTTTACGTTTCCACACAAGTGACAAACGAAGTTGAAGAAGCAGCTGCATCTGCCAGCAACACTATTGCAGCAAGAGAGGATGAATCAAATCCTGCCGGTTTTGAAGTATAAGAGAATAGCCGCTAATGCACGCGTGAATGATAGTTTTAATTTGTCTGTTCTGTATTTTTAGAGTTGTTATGATTTTGAATACATTATATATATGTTTTTAACTTTGGTTTTTCTCTTTAATTTCCGGCAAACTCCCTCCTATGAAGAAGACAATTACTAAGTTTTATTTAAAAAAAAACAATGTTGACTTCATTTTGCATATTGATAATGTCCACAACTAAATGCATCAATCACTATACGTTACATGGTGACATGCATTCCTAAAGAAACATAGCTCATGTAAACATTGCATAAATATCCGCTCTGTAGCCATGCACTCAGACTGAGAGCATAAAGCTCTTGATTTTGTTTCCTTTCTCTTTAAAATTTTTTTTTTTATGTTTAGATGAAAACAAATGCAAACAAACTAAATAGTCAGAGATTACGATTAAAACAACATTTTAATACCATAATATACACATATATACCCAAGTCCAATAAAACAAATAAAACATAAAACAATTCATCCCTATATCAATAAACATTCATTTACAAAACCTGACCACAAACTTTTATGAATTAATAAATATCTAATCCATTTCACAGTCTCAAAAAGAACTTCTACAACACATGAGTCACTCCTTCATGAATAAAAACAACACAACCCCAACGTTAATAACCCCACGCTTGCGCGGGGTGGACGATCCCTAGTTACTAGAATGTTATAGAAAATTTGTGATATTTAATAGAATAATATACATAAGGGACGATTGGTTGGACTGTAACTGTAAAAGTTTTAATTTAGAATTTAAACTGTAGAATTTTTGGATGTAGTTGTATCTAATATAACTGTAGAAATTAAATGAGAAAAAATGGAAAAATGAAAGATATTCCTACAGCAATCCTACAATAGTGAAGGTGATTGGTTGGGCTTTATCTCATTACTTTAGCTTTATTTATTTTTAAAACACTAAACTTTTCCAATCATGTTGTACCTTTATTTTTGTTAGTCAAAACATACAACAAATTTATGTTAAACTTGTACCAATCATGCTTTAGCTTTATTTTTAAAGCTACGGAAAAAAATAAAGCAAAATTTATTCTTATGTATTTTAGGCAAAACACCTAATCTTTGTTTTATAGGCTGTAGAAAATGCAAAATGAAAAAAAAAATCTAATATCAAATTAATTAGATAATCATGATAAAATATCTATCAATATTTTAATAGTTGTAGGTGTTTTCAAAATTATTCAAATATTTTAAATAACATAAAATATTATTTACATATCACACTTTAAATAACAATAAATTTTGATAATTTATAGAAATCATTAATACAAATTATTTTAGCTGATAAAAATAACTATTTTATATATACATCACATATAAACGAGCACAATGGAAATACATGCCACTCAGCCAAAGAAAGATGATAGAGAGTTGGCCAAAATGGGCCCAACCAGTTGTTCCGATTGACAGCATTGATTCCCTTATTCTTTCGACACCCGCGACTACTGCTACTCTCAGATTTTTTTGAGACCTACTTCCTCCTTGCTTGAACCTTTGCTGATCAAACTAGAAGTTACCAAGGAACCATGCATAGCACTAAATAGGGAGCCGCCAATCTCACTCCTAGCTTTTCTTATCGAAAGGAAAAAAGAAGGGGCGGCTATCTAGCGGGAGTCGTTTCGGTTGTATGCCACGAGGTCTATATATTTTGAAATATCTACAGCATATACCTTACATCTACAACAAATATAACTACAGAAAAAGTCTCTGCAATAAAATCTACAGTAATAACTTTACAGCTACAACCAACTTACCTACAGCTAAATTTTCACAGCTAAATTTTTACAGCCACAGTCAAACCAATCATCACCAGTATTTTTTTGCTTTAGGAAATAAGGCTCCTACAGCCACTTTTTTATTTTTTTGACTTTAGCTCTAAAACTACTTAAAGAATGATTGGTGATTTATATGGTTGTAGATAGAAAATAAAGCTAAAGTCATTAGTTAAATTCCAACCAATCACGCCCATATCTTTTA